AAATACTTGAAACTCTGCGGAGTAAGAATGATGCACGCAACTATATTCAGTATTGGAATGCAGAGAAAGGAGGAGGATAAGGAAATGAGGTAGAAAGTTAAGGTCAAAGCAAATTTAATAATCAATATAGGTATTCATATTTTAAAGGACAATGTCTAAACTCGCCTAAGAACCAACAGATATTTGACTATTACCAAAATTCTTATCCTTAATTATGCATTAGATAATATTCATTAGATAGTAACGGACACTTCTGACTTGTGAAATCAAAATAAAAAGGACTTTTTCGATTTTGAACTTTGTACCTATTTTTAATACTATTGTGCTTCGTGTATGGCCTCCTGTGATTTGGCCAATCGCACAATACCTTCACTCACATATTTCAAAAGTTGTCATAAACTCAAATATATTATGAAAACGTTTATATTTTAAAATATATCTTAGTTTTAAATTTAAAAAAGTTTAAAATTATCTTAAAAAAAAAAGTCAAAAACGTTGACAGATGACAACAAGTCAAAATAGACGTCAGACGTGCTATTGTTTTGGTTTCGTTTGAAAAAATACATTTCTGTAAATGTTTTAGGAATCTAAGTGCACTCTATAGTTGCTTTGTTATGCGATAAGTTTATATAAATTACGAACAACGGCTTGAACAACGGATACGATGTTTCATAAACATAAAACATAACCTCAAAATATCTATGATAACTGCAAATATCTAAGTTTTCAGAAGTGTCCGTCAAGAGTTATTGTTCTTACATACAATTATGTGTAATTTCGGACTTAAAAAGGTATTTTTTTTCACTGTTGGTTCTTAGGCGAACATTGTATGGACGCAAAACATTGTCCTTTCTCTACTCTCTTCCTTAAGGTCAACCGCACGTGCACGCGATGTTCCCTGCCTAACGGCTCAAGAGACTGATGGTAGTAAATCTTTATAAATGGATTGACTATTTTTTTTTAAAAATAGAAGTATAAACTACAACGTCAGCCCCCCACACACAGTTATTAAGTTGTAAGTGCACCCCATGATCTGATGCTTAGCACCTTCATAAGTCCTAGAATAAGAATCAAAATGCAGTGACGTTGAACACTTTGACTTTAATAACTAGGCAATACAACCGTGACATGCTTCCAGTGCTTCTATCCGTTCCACACCTTTGTATAAAAGATACAAACTGCAAATTTTCGTCCTGTAGACGCATAGTCCCTTTTAATATACTCATAGTGATCGTCTTAAAATGAGTGTGCGGCGTCCATTTCTAGAGCAGGTACTAAATCCCAGTAAAATTCTAGCGTGCTAGTTGGCGCATTCTTGCCATTGCAAGAATGCACCAACTAGCACGCTAGAATATTATAGTGAACATGGATCATTGCCTATGTTCACTACTGGTCTTAGAACTGCTGTTAATGCGATATGGTAACCAGCCAAGTAACAGGCAACAATGGTACCGCTGTTGTAGCACACGCTTTCTCTAATTTGTAAGATAGTAAACAGTCACTTATTATTGAAAAAAGCAAGGAATTAAGGCAGACATCCTGTCTCTTGACAACGACATCTTAATTCACAGTACTACTGTATCATCGTCATCAATACAGCCCTTCACATGTCAAAAAGTATGCCACCAATCACAGTCTTGAGCCACCTACATCAATCGAAATCACAGTGTTAACAGGTTGTAACTCCATCCAGTGGGGGGCCGCCATACGTTTGCCTACCGGTGTGAGACTACCACCCAAGAACCTTACCACCCAATCGGTTTTCAGTTCTTAGAGCTATATGCCCGGCTCATTGCTACTTTAGCTTAATAATCCATTAGGCTATGTCGTTTACTCTGTTTCTACTGCAGATATCTTTATTTTTAAGTTTATCACGCAGAGAAACCCCGACCATAGCGCTCTCCATAGCACGCTGAGCCACATTGAGCTTCCTCATACGGCAACTGTATTGATAACGAATAATTATGCATCGTAACTCGTATGTTTGACGTGTGGAAATGCCTACGCATAAAGCCTACGTATAAGTTATGTTGGACTCAAACTTAAACCCCATGGTGTTCCACCTTCACCTATGCAGGGCCACGGAAACACTTTCGCACACATCCGCCGCTACACCATTGCCCACCGCACCTTGACGACCGAGGAAGAAAAACTCCTCCCTTATTCCCTCCCTTTAAGGCAAGGCGCTAAAACTATTTCTGAATAAATGTCATAAAAATCTTTAATGTGCAGCAATTAAATTTAAAAATTTGGGAACTTCTATTGAAGGATTATAAGTAGTGTAGTTGTACCACTTCTAGACCACCTGAGTCAGACGTGGTTCAACGACGTTCGTCGACGCCCGATCCTAAAAAAAAAGGTTTTGGCATGCTCTGATCACGAATCCGCGGTCCATTTTTGTGTAGAATGCACGGTTCCGGAGATGTGTAGATCAATTAGCTAATATCTAATTGATATCCGGTAAGGGCCTCCACCGTCATTAGCGTCCCATTGTTCCTATTTCTATTGTTCTATTGTTCCTTAATCACCTTCATTGCAGCGTGTGCGTCGACTATATCAGTGCTATTGTGTTATAGTTCTTTGTTCCTAATTATACAACGCTAATCTGAATCATCAATAAAACACATTACATAATTTTGTTACAATTTTTATTTATAAAATACAAAATCTTATTAATTATTATCTATAAAATAGGAGCGAAACATCTCATCCACTAAAATATCGTTGTACAATGTGTTCCTTGTAAATATACTCGTAAAACTATGTATTGAACATCCTTGAAACTTATATAGTAAATACATTAAGCAATATTCGCCACAAACTGAAGTCCACTCATTCTGAATCCTATCAACATTCCAGTTCCATCTTTTACAATTCCTTTTTAAAAACTCTAGATGATATCGTACAGGTGATCGTCCATATGAATCAAAATATTGACCGACGTCATTCGTATCGATATATAAAGCTACCCAATGTGACCCTGGTTTATCATCTGTATCCAAATTACATATTATATACGTTGGTACGTATATATAATGTGGGTATACATAGGCAGTCTATTAGCTGCATAAACATTATTTTCTAGACTGGGGTGAATCTTTTTCAGATGTTGTTGTACATCTAGTGTATCCATGATATTACTGCTATTAGTAGATTATTACAGTACCTAGCTACTCAATGAATAACATAGGAATGGTCAATTATAGTAATTTCTACATATTAAATTGCATTTTTGTGATATACAAATCGTACTTGAGTCATTGATCACCAAACAAAACACAATACGAAGAAATGTTGAGATAGGCAACGGAAATGTGAGATAAACTGGTTGACGCATAAAGTAATTATCAACTCATTACGGAAATACTTTATATTAGAATTTTTACGTACTGGTGGTATATAAGACCAACAAATGCAGTCATCGAGTTAGTGTACGGTCGTTTGGCTACAGTGGATCTATCAATAGTACATTTGTGTTACTTCAATACACCAAAGGCTATGGATGTAAGTGTTTATTCTATTGACTAAATTACTTTTTTTCTGTTATTTTCATGTGTGTGTATTATTTTATTTAAATATTGTGTATGTATATGATTAAGCCGTGGTAACTCAGATGGTTAGCGCTAGCTGTAAATTTCACAGTACGCGACCGGGGTTCGATCCCCGCCAGCACCAATTAAATTGTTAATAGCAATTTTAAGTGCTTATTACCACGTGCTTGGTGGTGAAGGAAAACATCGTGAGGAAACCTGCATGTCTGAGAAAATTTCGAAGGCATGTGAAGTTCGCCAACACACATTGAGGGAGCGCGGCGGACATTTCCTTGCTCTAAAACCCTCTCAGAAATGAGAGGAGGCCTATGTTCAGCAGTGGACTTTAATAGGCTGTAACTTTAACTTTTTTAACTTTTATGATTAAGTGTTAACAAATTGATATTAACATGATAACTGTGTTGTTGCAGAAATCATTGAGCTTCGATGAAGATACCTATAAACAGTATTACTACTCGCCACTCTCCCCTCAAGAAGAGAGTGATAACCTCGTCATTAATAATAACACATGCGATGGTGGAAAAAGAAAATCGCAATCGATTGATCATTTTTTTGAAGCTGAATCAAAAATAAAAAAGAGGAAGCTGTTATCATCAACCGTAGCACGAGCCTCTAGAGATGGTGTATCATACATTTCTACTAATTCTGACGACGGAGACCAAGCGACGCATCTCATCAAAATTGAAATGTACGATATGAAGAAGCTATCCAAGATTCCAACTACTGATCATTGGAAACATGCTTCCACGAGAATTAAATATTACGTAAAGACTAATAAGGATAGCATCTACGACAATACAAACGCCCTCGTATACAATATAACAAAGACAATAGCAGAAAGTGAAAAAGTTAAAAAATACTTTTTTAACAATGACAGTCATTAGCTGATCATTAGTGAATGTGATTCTGTTTACTTCAATTACAGGAAGACAAGAGCGGAAGGAAGAGATGAGTGTGGCATACGTGTACAAAACACATCATTGAATAACAAAACTACAACACTGAGTGGAGAAGAAAACGAGAAGAGTATGCAGTACTCAAGAGCTGAATATCCATTCTTCAGTTCAAAATCTAGCCGTTTGCTTAGTTTCGAAAACTGGCCTCTAGTTATGCGACAGAAACCTGAAGATCTTGCCGAAGCTGGTTTCTTTTATACTGGCCATGCAGACGGGACCAAGTGTTTCCATTGTGGTGGTGGTTTAAAAGATTGGGAAGATGATGATGATCCTTGGCAGCAGCATGTTCAGTGGTTTAGTCAGTGTGCTTATGTAAAATTTCAACTCGAACAGTGTTTTGTATTAGATTAAATAGAAGATTTATAAAGAAATAAAAAAAATATATTGCATACAATTTGTTTTATTTAATTTTATAACGTTTCACATAGTTACATACACACAAAATGCATTACACATAACACATAAAATCTAACACACAACACATATTATAACCTTAACTACTATAGTCTACAGTAACATTTCTGTTTTTATCCATCTCAATAATATTATCAAACTCAGCATAAACTATACAGTTAATTGTTTGTATTAATGAGGATTCAAATCGTACTTCTATTCTTACACTACCATGCTTTATGAGATTCCAATGAGTTGATGAGTTAGCTGATAAATCAGGAGTTAAGTCAAATGCTAATAGACAGTAACCTTTGCCATACTGTTCACAAGAGATTCCATTTCCTTCATTAAGAAAGTGAATACCAGTTCCCGAGAATAGAGTATGATATGCTGATGTAAATATGCTATTATTAAAAGATGGTTGCAAAGCTTTTGAAGGTATTTGTTGACCATCAATATATAAGCTGAAAGAATTAATACCATAGTTTTCAAAGTTAAATGGATTTTTAGTAAGGGAACCATTAAATGCAGAATTGTTCACAAATCCAATTATACATCTTTTCGGTACCTGTCCTAAAAATATATTATCAGGAGTTTTTCCTTGAACACCTGAAGGAATTGTTAAAACTTTTACTTCAGCTCGAGTAATAGGATATTTAGCAGTGGTAGAAGCTAAAACTTTTTGATGTGCGAGTAATACACTTGGATTAATTCGTGCTCGTCGCACAATAAGAGTTGCGTCCGTAATGCAAACTTTAAACTTTACATCGTTTGACCCAACAATTAAATTAAAACTCTCTCTTGATCGAACCAATTTAACACTCATTTCAACACCATTAATTAAAAATTTATCTTGGTTAAAAATGTCACCGTGAAGATGACCAATCATTTCTATTTCCTTACTTTCACTAATCAATTCCTGTCTTTTAACAAATCCTATGTTTTTACCATCTGTAGAATCCATTTTTCCTGCTGTATCCTCATACCAAAGACTACAAGTAAGATGAGATTGTTTAGCAGCAGGGGCATAGTTTAAAAGGGTTTCCATGTATGCTCGATATGCATAGGTATTATTAGGTGGTGATACAAGTTTTTGGTTTAAATAAACATCAAGTTGACTAAAAAGTGAATGCAGCCAATTATTTACAGGTGCTACTATTGTAGTAGATACCAAGTTAGTTGAATCTTGATTTAATACTTTTGCCTTTATGTGGAGTAATGTATGAGACAAATCTATGTAGTCATCGCCGGTCCCAGGAACTTGAAACTCGATAGGTCCATCATCACCAAGAGATGAAATTGGTTTATAATGAATCCACAATCCATTTTCAATGCTAGTTTGTGTAGACGGTAGTGCAAACAAATCCAATTCTGACTTAACGCACTCGCAAGAATGATTATGAAGGAAAGACATATTTAGTTTGAAAATATATCTTTGATATTTTTTGGTTTTAGACTAAGTTTTTTCGCAGCTTTCACTTTAGCAGTTAATGGTGGAATGAACGATGTCAATCGTTTTCTTTTAGTTTTATACCCAGATCCAGTCATGTTAAATTGATCAATTTTCTCATCAGCCTTTCGTTTTAAATTCGTACTAACTTGCTTTAAACGATCTTTTATTGAGGCTTCCATAGGACGGGCTTGAACCATATCCGATAAAAGTCCTACTCCAGCGCTTAATGCCTCCTTACCAATCACTCGAGCACCACTTGAAAGTAAAGGTAAAACCGATCTGAATAACCCCCCTGAGAAGCTCCCAATACCATGACCGCGTTGATATGGTGAACCCTTATAAATTACTCCAACTCCTGATCCAGCTTGATGTGTATAATAATTTTCATATGGACATTTATGATGATCACGAAGAGAATTCATTATTATAATTTTCGGAAATGTAGTTTAATACACACGGTTCCAAACTGGAATGGTATTTTTTGTCCTGTACTCGATCTTATAACTATTTCCAACGTATCGAACTCTCTTCGCATAACAGGTAAGTAGTGAGGTTGAGAGAAAACGTGCATTTTATTTGCACCATAAATGTATTTTGTAGGATCTAATGAAATGACTCTTAATAAAGGAGTCATAACATCACCCACAATCTGAGGATCGATAATATCGCAATATAGAAATAGTTGAGATGGTAACCCTAAGTGTAAATTAGCAGGACACTTTCCAAAATTTCTCTCTAGGAGATTTTTATTTGGTTCATAACCTAGCTGTAAACTTAATTTGGGTGATAATGTTACGGATGTTATATTTTTATCCAATACCGAAATAGACACAAATTTTGTTATTTCATCATAGCGAAATTTCAAGTTCTCTCCGATACCATTTAACACTCTTAAAATATGCTCAACGTTATCATAGTTGGTAGCTGGAATATGTTTTTTGTAGTACACTGTGGATGGCTTATCTTCATTAGGCATTAACATAGATTTTGTAATGTATATAACATTTTCATGGTCTTGAACAGTAAACATGGTACATGGATATTGAAACTCGACAACTCCAACCGACCATTCACCTTCTAATTTTATAGCTTTTGGTAATTTCGTTGAAAAATTTGTGGTCTTCTTATCAGGAAAGTATTCCATTGAACTATTGCTGAGCAAAATTAAATAGAAACTTTCTTGATTCATATTTCTTTTAAACTAGAAGCTAAAATCCAACTGTTAAATTTATCTGGATAACCTTTCCACTTCACTAATACTTCTTTTCTGTTACCTGAATAACGAGTGTCAATTATTTTATCTATTTTATGTTGTGAGGTGGGGTTGTAAGTGATTTTCTGTAATTCTCTTTCATAAAAAGTACCAATTATTGGTTCATTTTGTAAATCTGTTATTGTATAAACAACTCATGGAGATCTATCAATTATTGAAGATATAATAAATATTTCATCACTCCAATTTGATTCATATCCTTTTTGGAATACATGTTTATATTTAGTTATTCGAACATAATCACCCACATTGAAATTTGGTTTAGGATTTTCTAAAGAAAGTTTTTTTGACCGTCTGTCATAAAGATTAGTCCAAACTGTCATAATATTGTTGGAATTTACATCACATGGGCACATCTTAATACTAGAGTGAAAGCTGTGATTATAAGAGTATATTAAATCTTGTAAAACATCTATATATCTATAAGTATTATTATGAGTGAAATAACGCCACATTTTCATTTTTAGTGTTCTTTGAAATCGTTCAACAATACTGGCCTTAATGTCAGGATTGTTAGTGGTATAGTAATTAATCTTTTTGGATTTAAAGTATTTTTGTACATCTTTTGAAACAAATTCGGTACCTTTATCGGATTGTATGTGAGTAGGTGTTAAATTACTTTCAGTAAATATACTTTCAAAACATTATTTAGTTGTTTCTGAGTTTTTCTTTTTCATTGGTCTTGCAAAAGCATATTTACTAAATACATCAATAATACAAAGTATATACTTGAAACCATCATTATATTGAGAATAAGTTCGCATATCACTTAAATCAGCTTGCCACAGTTCATTAATATTTGATAGAATGTACCTATTACGAGGGAATTTTTTTCGAATGGGTTTATGTAATGTGTATGTTTCTTGTGATTTTAACCATTCCTTTACTTGCTTTTTATTCATTTTACCCTTCATGGCTTTTGATAATTTATCAATACTACCAAAACCAGCGGGATTAGATGGATCATAATAAATCCTGTTAATTTCTTCTAGTACGGAGTCCATTTTTCCCACTCAAGTCCTTTACGTATTTTAGTTGTAGACTTTTTATCTCTACTGCATGGTGTAGAAAACTCTTGAACTTCAATCTCAGAGGGTTTGTTCAGATCTTTTGCTTGAAGTTGGTTAATAAACTCACATCTCCTTGGATTTCCAATATAAGTAAGTGGTACTTTAATATCTTTTAATGCTTCAGCAAATCTAACCCACCCTACCGGATCACTTCTTTTTAGGGGTCTTAGTGAATCATTTATTAAATCAACAATATTACTTCCAGGAATTTTTTCACTATCAATTATGACTGTACCTTCGTTATCCCAATGTATTTTACTTTTACTTGTTTCAACTAAGTTTAATAATAACTGCCCTTTTTTATGATAAGTTTTTGGTATTAAACTGAGTATTTGAGCTGGTGTGTAAAGTGGATTTTCATCATTTTCTTTACTTTTAATGGATCGATTCTCCTCCAGCAAAGATTCAATATCAACTGAAGTTTTTAGATCTCTATCTTTATTTTTAAAACCAATTTTTGACTCATTTGAATCTTCATTAGATGTATCAGAATAAATTGGTAATTTGAGTGGTTGACGATCCTCTTCGGTAAAATGAAGGTATCTTTGCAGTGTTTGTAAATATAATATCCATTTCTTTCGGTCTTCCGTCTTACTATTCATAATATTTTGCATTTCAATATCTAATCGAGATAAATTACTATTAACCTTATTTTCTTGTTTTAATTTTTCAATCAATCCAGGTTCGATAAGTATCATTTTCTTTGCATTTTCCATGTTAACTGGCTAGTCCACTCACTAATCCACTCAATATTGCACCTAATATTGTTGGTAAGAAAGCCCCTCCTTTTTGTATAATTATATTTTTTCTTAGTTTATGTTTACACTTACGTACTAGTTTACGGAGTATGTTTTTATGTTTATTCAATTTTTGTTTATCCTGATCTTTAAGAGGTACTTTTCCTTGTAAAACGTTATGAATACACTCACAAATACAGTTAATTTCTTCTTCATCACACGTTTTAAGTAATGCTCTTTGATATTTTGGTTTAAGCGTATGCAAAGCGGTTAGCAAATGTTTATACGTTGTGAGTCGACGATGCATCATTTAGCAATGATTTCAATTGTTTGATTCTTGGTGTATTTAAACTCTTTTGTGGGGACGTAGACTGTACAGAAACCATTAAATGGAAAGACATATGTCTTGATACGACAAAAATCATTGGTATTCTGTTTTAAATCTACCATTAAATATCCATGTGCCTCTAGAGTTGCATCCCTGTAGGCATTTTCAATGAATTTTGGGTTATCTGGTGATACTTGTCTTGCTAAATATCTTATTTGAGTTTTATCTCGAGGGTTTTTAAAATATATTATATAACTTGTGTTTAAAGATATGTCTCTTTGTCCTTTACCCTGATGAAATAAATTTTGTGTTAGATAAAATACACTAAGATTCCTGTGATGACTACCTTTTGTAAATATATCCACAATTCTTCCATCGGACTCTCTCATTAGATCATCAATAATAACAAGATGTGGGTTTTCACCATCAAACATATTAAGATTTGGAATTCCTTGATGATAGTTAACATTTGGTAAATTATATAATGGTTGCATTTCATCAAAGCACCATGTGATCTGATTAAAATCACAATTACATATTTCTGTAACTGATTTTATGAAATTTGTTACAAAATTTGACTTCCCACACCCACTTGGTCCTGCCACAATAGCAGTGAACGGATGGATAAAGTGAAACATAACACACGTCTAAAGTTCAAAGGGGTGAAATAAAAAATGAAAGTGTTGGTGTAAACAATTAATATATATTCCAAAAATTATATAAAACAGAATTATCTGTATACTATTTCTAACACAATTAGTACATCATAATTTTACAATTAACTCAACCTCAAATAAATAGAAACAACAATTAGTACATCATAATTTTACAATTAACTCAACCTCAAATAAATAGAAACAACAATTAGTACATCATAATTTTACAATTAACTCAACCTCAAATAAATAGAAACAACAATTAACTTAAATTATTTACAATAAAACAATGTTTAAATATGTAATAAACTACGTCATATTATAGTATTATCATAATTTTACAATCAATATAAATTTTTCTTAAACGCAGACATAAAAGTAAAAACTATCAACACTTAACGCAGTTTATAATGACCCCAAGCTAATGTTTCAATATTATTATCTAAAATATGTCTCTTTGTGTCATTATATGATAAACCTATCTTATTTAATTTTTGTGTGAAAATTGTGTGTTTAATTGATTTAAATCTAAGCATACTATAATATTGCACTTTTTTATTAAATAGAGAAGACTTATAACTATTCATTGTCATCTTTTTAGTGATACATTTATTTACCCCTTTTGCCTTGGCTATAGTCTTATTCTCTAAGTTAAAAGCGTACATTTTGGATCGTAAACCCACAAATTCTTTCATGATTTTACCATTATTTTCATCTTTAAAAAACCTAATTTCTTTTTATTTAATTTTGGATATTCAAAAATATTATTTGTATCATAATCTGAGGTATCAAAGTATGATGAAAGGTCAGGTTTTATATCAGTGTAAAAATCATTTGTAAATATATGATATATTAAACTATCCGTATCTGTATACAATAATTTGATTTTACTAAACT